TTATCGGCCGCGTTCCTATAAGCTACCTGGCTTCACCCACGCGTGTACTTAGAATGCCATCCATGTCGCATGTGCCGGTGTGGGAACGGCTGGAGCACAGCATCGTACAGCGCTACCTGATTTCCTTTTCCCTAACCACGAAAAATGTTCTTGAGCTGTAAAAAAATTTGTTCGAATATCGCATTATTCTATCTTTATAACACTTTAACTATGGGAGACAAACGTATGTGTAGTGTACTTACATTTGGGTAATATATTAAATGCATGCAATCGTGCTGTATTTGGACATGACTGATGACGGAAGGTTACAGGAGGTTACTCTGTTCTACCTCGAAATAAAAAAAAAGAGTAAAGACCCGAATTTTAACAGAAAATGGGAAAATAATCCATCGCATATTCTATAAATTCATTTAACCTCCACACCATAAAGGCTTTGCCAACCAAAGTCAAACATGAATGTCCCCATTTTGATTCGTGACCAAGTGTCTGCTGATAGAATAGAACTCAATTACTGGGAATTAAGAGCTCTCCTTGTATCCAAGATCGGAGTTTTTTTTTATAATGCCCAAACGCTTCCATTTTTAACAACGCTTAGGTTTCTTTCAAAGTGGGCTGCACACCATATTTGTATTGGTATCCACGCATACATTTGAAGCAATCACAATGCGCTTGGGAGCATTAAACTGCTACGATTTACTGCATGAATTTGATTCACTCCTTTGAACATGATGAGGATATTTGTGGCGTACAATTTCCTTTCGACCATAATTGTTGTTGAAATGTCTACCGCTGCATTAAGTTAACGTGTTATTTTCTCAGTATGTAGCACATCATTATGCCATGTGTTTATGTTTTAAATTATTGGACACCAGTTTCTCAATGTGTCCCTTCAAGGCAGCCTCCCAGTGCCTTTAATATTGTTTCCTCACAACATCTCAGAACATGCAACGGTAATGCATGCTTGATTGCGTTAAATGAATTCCCTGAGGGGAAGAAAATATAATGGTGAAAAATGAGGCTTTTTTTTTTTACATAAATGTACGTTAAAGAAAGACATTAGTTCATGTGCTGGGTGGATTGTTACATCATGGAATCATTCGAAGTGGCAGCAGCTTGGGGAGGTCTTCAAACAGCAGTGGATTGACGTTGGATGATGGTCATTATTATTATTTTTTCAATCAGAAATTATACGTATAGATTTTTTAAAATTTGCTTTGTGTTAAGGAACAACTTTTTTCTTCCGTCGAAAATCATGAGCATCATCTTCATCCATGATTAATCCACTGTTGAATGAAGTCGTTGCCATCTCTCACAATCCGGTGAGGAAAAAATTAACATATCACCTGCATACGAGCTGATTAGAAAAAAAAACAGCTCCATTCAGCTTTCTTAAATGTTGTTTATATTTTTTTCAGTATTATTTTAAAACCAAAATCTAAGTGATTGTACAATAATGCTTGTCTATTATTTATGCGGGATATATAAATTGAGTACATGTTAATTGAAAGTTAATTTTGTTAAGTCTAGAAATAAAATCAGTGTAGTATAATGGCTGATGATGATGATGAGTAATAACGCCAATTGTTAAGCAAGAAAAGCCTCACTCAGTGTCAAAATCTTCTTAGGAGGGTTCTGCATTGGGATCCCTGGATACTTCCATGAATCGTTGTTAGACTTAATTAATGTGCACAGCAATATATAAATAACTTGCTTTGAAGGTATTCTATCACACGTGTTAGGGCAGTAATTTTCAGCTTTAAACCTCACGACCCACCATTAAATACACTTTTTTAGTCTGGGATTTTTCATTTCATTCACGTGTACGTACACCTAAAACCATTGTCTCTGTGAGTTGGGTAACATTGTCATAGATTGTATGTGACATTGCATTTGAAATACATGGAAAACTGGATGGGTCTGAATTTCAGAACCCATCTTCTTGGTTCTTTCGGTAAAGTCACGTAGAAGGGAAGTAATAAAATAATAAAATTAAAACATAATAATTACTTTAGTATGTTTTATTGTTTATTATTAATGATGTTATTATTGATTATTTTATTATGTTTTATTTGTATTATTTTATTACTTCCCTTCTACGTGACTTTACCGAAAGAACCAAGAAGATGAATCCCTGCAGTCACGAAAGCTTTAAATCGAAATTTCAGAACCCTTCATCCCACGGCCATAATCCTCCGTTGGTCAAGCATTGAAGATGATCGGCTCCTGGAGAGGTGACAATTTGGTAACAGCAGCACTGTAGACCCACCTAGCGGATATGAGTTTGAACTACAGCAACTCAAGCAAGTAAAGTACTGTTTTGGAATGAACAAAAACATTGTAAACATTTGTATGTAGCGCTGCCTCTAAAACGATGGCCTTTCTTTCGAGCATATGCATGTGCTATGTTGCGTTTTTGTTATTTAATTGTGCCTGTATCACCAATGCAGCATCACCAAATCTACTGTTTTGGAATGCATGATTCCTCACTTAACCACCAAACCACTTTGCTATCAGTGTAAGCAATCCCTATAATTCATATCACACACACACAGATATACATATATCCGCGTGTGGGATAATCAACTAGAGCTAAAATAAGCATGGTTGACTTTAACCTCAAAAAGGCAGCGTTCGTGGGGAATGTAACATTAACCAGATTTTAGATTGTGCTCACTGCTCTGCATTGCATTTGATAATGATTTTGGGGTCAGGAACCGAGAAATGCAAATACTGCAACCAGCATGGGTTGGGAATTTGGCAGGCATGGACAACGTTATTCGTGACATCTCACACAATACAGGCCACGGTTGGACATTATTGCATATTGCGCACCGTGTTTTGACAATTACGGCTGCAATTTATCATGAAATGCAATGCATGAGTGTGTGAATGTACACACTTTGTGTTTTCATAGTCTATATTTAATTGTGGCAATTTGTGTAAAATCGTAAATAAAATGGCGACACGTTTACAAGGCAAAGGCCTGCTCCCCAGATAGCATCGTTACCATTAGTGGAAGCACAAAAAAAACTTGGTAAGGACTACAAAAAGCTCGGTTGTTTGGGCCAGAACGATGTCAAACATCTGGAGTCTCATTTGTAAAAAAAGGAGTGAGACTCGCCAGAAAACACAGAGCTATGCGATCATGGTTGAACAGTTTCTGCTAGGAGCTACGGTGCCAGGTCGAAATACATCACTTCAAATACAACCCCATTCCACACTATCAAAGGCTGGCAATGGGCACGCACATAGCGATGTCAATTGGACATCCTTCGGGAGACGTTAATGTGAGCCGTAGCATGCCTGATCGCTCCCTGCACATTGCTTCCACGTAGTCTTGGCTAGGGGTGGCAGAACTGGCCTGTGGTTAAAAGGTCAGGGTTAGGAACTCAATATTTCAACAGTGACTGGCGCAGAACTATGCATCCGTGTCTGTCGCTGTGAATGCACGAGGTTACTAAGCATGAGCAATGATAAATCCTTGAGGACTCGTTTATGGAAAGCGCGACAACTCACCAGATTGCAGCCAGGGGGTTCATTTCTCACGACTGTCTTTCCTGCGGGGGATTAGGTTCTCGGGTCAAGAATTTAGAATTGCAAAGAGCGACCTGGCTTAGGTTGACCGTAATTGTCCAGCAATTCCCTTGCAACATTCAAGGATGCTCACATATTTGGGGAAATATTTTCGGAGTGTGAAATTCTTCACAGCGTGATCTGAATTGACCTATTAAGAGTGCGTTATTATTCAGTGTATATTTTTAATGCAGTGTTTTTGTGTTGTTAGTCACGAGTATTTCAAATGCTGTACTCATTTAAACAATTGGGCTATATACACGTATCACTGGTATCAATTATGCGGACTTTCCGGTGGATGTAATTTCCTGTAGGCATCAAAACATGCCACAAGCGTGGTCTTTATGCATCATGAAACTGATTTAACTCAACGTAAATTATTTAAAAGACAATTTAGTATAAAATGTTTAAGATATATTTTAACCTTTGAAGATACTGCTAGTGGGATGAGAGTAATTTCATGGTCTCTTGAGTTTTTCGCATTATGCTATTTAAAATACTCAACATACCCAGGCTCGCAAGTCTTTCTTGTGAGAGATGATTCAATTTGGGCCCGACTTAGGGGCCGTCCATAAATGACGTCACGCACTTGGGGGGGGGGGGGGGGGGGGGGTCAGACATTTGTGACGATGTGTGACAAGGGGGGAGGGGGGTGGTTGAGAAATGTGACGTCACATCAAAATGCGCAACTTTAAATACATACAGACAACACGTTCTACTTAATTAAATAGACTTTTGAATAAATGTTTTCTCATCTGCTTGGTTCTTTCGGTAAAGTCACGTAGAAGGGAAGTAATAAAATAATAAAAATAAAACATAATAGTGAGAATTATTTTATTATGTTTTATTTTTATTATTTTATTACTTCCCTTCTACGTGACTTTACCGAAAGAACCAAGAAGATGAATCCCTGCAGTCACGAAAGCTTTAAATCGAAATGTTTTCTCCTACAAACATCAGAGTGCAGCGGCACATTAAATACTCACTACAATGACAATAGTTTAAATCGATTTGAAGCATGGTTTTTTGGGGGGGGGGGGCAGAGCTTTGTGACGTCATATTTGAAGGGGGGGGGGGTCTGACTTTTTGTGACGCCGTGTGACGAAGGGGGAGGGGGGTAAAAAATCGTCCAAAATCGCGTGACGTCATTTATGGACGGCCCCTTAGCCCATAGAGGCCCCGGAGCAGAAATTACGTTTTGGGGCCCCCACTTTCAACACACACACAGGCAAGCGATAGCGATGATGTGAAATAACAGAAACATTGTATTGATTAAAAAAACGGAGTGGCAAGATAGATGCAGACGATATTTACCACGAGGTGAATTGCCTTTCACTTAACTAGCTTTTATTTTGGGATTTAATTGAACTTTTTGATGCACCGCACAATCCATGGGGGGGGGGGGGTGTCTCTTGAGCTACTTGGGGGTTCTACACTTTGCCCTTTGCTTCATCTGCTCGTGCCCCCCCCCACCACGTCACTCACTAGGGCAGCGAAACCGCCCAACAGGAATTGTTCAATGAGTAACTTCTTCGCAAAGTGAGACATTTTTTCTTTTTACACATCACTGGAAAAAGAGACATCAACCAAGCCACAGCACCAATGCTTAGCGGACGCGTCGCATCACACTCACGCACACACAAAAAGGCAAAACACGGCGGCTAAAGCGATTGCTTCTCCCGGCACTTTTACTGAGGATCGTGTTGGTGTGTAGTCGTGGCTCTTTGTATGTTTTTGTAGCTCGTTTCATATTCGAAGTCTTCGCAAGCGGCGAGGGACATTTGCGATGGCGCGGGAGGTCGGGGCCTGGGAGGTTTTGGTGCAATTCTCGAGGTGCGTCTCGGGATCCTACTGCGGCTACTGCGGCGGCGACACGGGCAAGTGGAGCAGCGGTAAGTTTGGTTTATATTAGTGGTATTGGGGGTTTTAACAATAGCGTCATAAATTACTTTTTAAAAAAACCCGATCGCAATAACTATAATTTGTGATGAAACACAACGGGCTTTGCATTTCGTAGCGCTGTTGCGCAGCACGTGCGGAATCCAGAGCTCCCATTGGTTGAGACTATGGCGACGCGTGCGAGTGAATGGCACGGCCGCTCTGATTGGTCGAGCGCCTACGCGAGGCGCCGCCCTTGCGGAGTGGGAAATGTAATTGCGGTGCCGCGGGTGGGATCGTAATCGGCAATCTAGCGCGACCGCGAGCGCTTTGTTGGCCTTGGGGGCTTAGAGGGAGAATCCGGCCCTAAAGAAGGATTTAGGGCCGTCCATAAATGACGTCACGCACCTGGGGGGGGGGGGGGGTCAGACATTTGTGACGTCGTGTGACGAAGGGAGGGGCGGGGGGAGTTAGACGTATTTTCAAGTGAATGTTATGCTAAATTTCAGCTTTCCAATAAATGTTTTCTTCTACAACATCAGAGTGCAGCTCCACATTTTAATAAATACCAACTACAATGACAATAGTTTTAGTTTAAAGTGATTTGAAGCACGTTTTATTTTCAAAATGGAAATTTGGTTTGGGGTGGGGGCGGGGGCAGAGCTTTGTGACGTCATATTTGAGAGTGGGGTGGGGTGGAGGGGGTTCAGACTTTTTGTGACGCCGTGTGACAAGGAAGAGGGGGGGGGGTCAAAAATCCTCCAAAATCGTCCAAAATCCTCCAAAATCGCGTGACGTCATTTATGGACGGTCCCAAAAGAGCCCTCTCGCCCTTGCCCAGTTCAGGGCGCTCTCGAGCCCCGCGCTTGAAAGCCGATTACGACCCCGGGCCCCGTTCCGCCTCCTCCTCCTCCTCGTCCGCTTCGTCCGGAAGGGGAAACTCGCACAGAGCCTCGCGTGTGTAGAGAGCACAGAGGGTGGTAGGGTGGTGGTGGTGGAGGTGGTGGTGGTGGTGGAGAGAAACCACCGCGAAGGGAGACAATGTCGACGATAGGGATGCGCAGCGTGGTCGAGTACCTGTCTGACAGCGGCGGAAACTCGTGTGGCTACTGTGGCGGAGAAACCTCGAGTGTATCGCATGGTATACTATTATCTGTTGTGCCCCCCCACACACACACACCAGCCCTCCCTCCGTCTGTCATGCTTGTCTGTCGCCTGTCTTCTCGGTTGTCTGTCTTGTGTGTGTGTGTGCTTTGACCGACCGTCGGCTAATTGTGCTTTAGCCTTTGTGCCGGCATCGGCTACAGCGATAGGGAATATTCATTCATTCATGCTGTTGCTGCTGCTGAATCTGGTGTTAGTAGCAGTAGCAGCATCGTTATCATCCCGAGACGGGCATTTGTCATCAACTTCTGGCACGTTCATACTCACTGCTGTTGCTGTTTTCAGCATCGTCTTCACAATCACTCCAAACATCATCATCATCTCTGAGATGTCATTGAGAGCAGCTGATAACACCCCTGCATCGCCATCAGCATCATCAGCAATACTTAAGGTCATCCTCACACGGGGTTCATGTCCTCGTGGAATTTGGGAATTGGGGAATTGGGGAACGCTTCTCGTGTTATTGCTTACATTGTAAATGTGATACTGTACGAATTGTGTGCTGTTTGTGTGCTGTACTCTGCTAAGTGATAAAGGGTTTTAGTCGTGGGGTTTCAATGGCTTTAAGGTTTGAATAGTTTGTGTCAGGGTTTATAGGGTAAGGGATTATTGGGGTAGAGTTTATATCACCATGTTTTTGGTTTATTGGGGAGCTTGCAGAGATTTGGTTTATAGAGCTTGAACTTGTAGAATTGTGGAAGTGAATTTGAGTGTTTTGGTTCCTGTAGATATTTTTAACTTACTGTGTATGGCTATGAATAGGGCTTATAAGGTCAAGGAGTTAGGGTAAGGGGCCGTTCATAAATGACGTCACGCACCGAGGAGGGATGGGGTCAGACATTTGTGAGGATGTGTGACGTCACATCAAAATACGCAACTTTAAATAAATATGAATTAAATAGAATTGTTATAACAACACTAATTTTTATTAATTTTCATTATTAACTATTTGATTATTTACATTTACTAAGGTCACCTTTTATTTACTTCATGAAGGAGCATTTTGCTTCTCCATGGGAGAATGGAGAAGCATACATTTTGTAATTTTTTTGAATGATATTTATTAAACATTTTGATTCTCATGATTCTACCAGGGCTTTTCATTCTGTGAAATGAATATGTGATTGTTATAATTGTACTCTCCATTATGCTTCGTTTTACTACAAAGTTTCAAGAATTTTTTATAGTTATGTGTGTCTGTTCGAAATGTTTTAGCATACTTTCCAACATGCTACAATCTTGAAATTTGCCATGTTGGGTAGTTTCCAGACTGTACACAATGCAAAACGTATAAAAATAGACTTTTGTATTGGGGGGGGGGGGGGGGGGGCGCAATAATTGATATATTTTGCATGGCAAGTGAGTATTAATCCAAGACAAAAATCCAAGTCCCGGGCGAAGCCGGGTAATAAAGCTAGTATTTAATAATTATAAGATAATTTCAATGTAATATTCTAACATCTGCAGTTTTAGTGAGATGTTTAATATTTTCAGGTGAATTTTATGCTAAATTTCAGCTTTCCAACGCCATTTTAATACATGTTTTCTTCTACAACATCAGAGTGCAGCGCCACATTAAATACCCACTACAATGACAATAGTTTTAGTTTAAAGTGATTTGAAGCATGCTTTATTTTCAAAATGGGAATATGGTTTTTTGGGGGGGGGGGGGGGGCAGAGCTTTGTGACGTCAAATTTGAGGGGGGTCTGACTTTTGTGACGTCGTGTGACGAGGGGGGGAGGGGGGGTCAAAAATCGGCCAAAATCGCGTGACGTCATTTATGGACGGCCCCTTACTATGTATAGGGCTATGAATTTAGGTTGTAGGAGTTAGAGTTGATGAGATGGTAATTATATACTTAGACTTGTAATATGATAATGGATTAAAAAATGGTATCTAAAGGTTTCGGTATGGTTCGGGTTTAATTGTTTATACTGTTCTGTATTCAATGTTAATATGGCTATATATTTTGGCATACTGACTATACCATTATTGCCTTACAGTACTGTAGCTTTTTAGGAATGCGTTGATTGTGTGGTAAGGTTCGTAAGGTTCTTAAGGTTACAACAGCATCAGTGGCGAGTGATAACCAAACCGGTCCCTGCACCCATCCCCACTCGTTTCACCAAAACAACTTGCTTGGCCGAGATGGTACAGGGATGTGTGGAGGCCTTCATCCAGCAGTGGATTGACAAAGGCCTGTAATTATTAATAGTTCAAGGGGCATGCGGTGCAAACCTGTTTGCTCTCCTTACGATCGGATGGTGCTTGATAAATTAATGCAACTGTTGCATTCGCAATTGTATTATTACTCACAACTTATTGTGAAACAATCTTCTGGTTATGATGTTACATTTACCTTCCATGATTTTGCCCTTTCCAGTCTATATAATTGGCGCACTGACACATTTTCGTTTGCTTTGGACATTATTACTGATTGAATCTTGCGTGGTTTTGCAGGTCATGTTTGGTCCGTAATTTGCATGTCTCTAATTGTAATCTGTGTGTCATGTTTCCAAGGGATGTGGGCCCATGCCTTAACAGTACATGATTACCAGGATCTCATAGACCGGGGCTGGAGGAGGTAAGTAAGCTGCTTACTTTTCACTTTGACCTCTGGGAAGGTTCAATCTTAATTAGATGTTGTAATTCAGGGGGTTTATTCTTAGACAAAGTTCATACGAGACGTGACATGTGACCGCTTGTGGAAATGATATTGGGTTAAATGAATTGCCATGACAGACGCAGTCTTAATAGTCTCAAATCCGTGTAATAATTTATGCCTTGATGAGTATCAATGATTAAACTCATCATGCATGCCGTTTCATATGTTGTATATGTTATTACCAACGAAAACATCAGTTAAGCATATCTCAAAGTGGAACCTTGCAAGCACTTGATTGGATTCCCATAATGAATGCCAGGTTGTCAGAGGCAGCACGTGGTTACCCTGCGCACATGCTGGTCCATCAGAGGACGGTGCAGAAAAGTAAATTGTTCTACTGTACTTCTATACAACCATATTTCTGCTCCCCGTCAAATAACCACCACGATCCACGCATTGCAGGGAGGCTCCCATCCAGCAGTGGATTGACAAGAAAAGGCTGTACATGCACAAATGAAATGTGTTAACATCATCGCCGTAGCCACATGGAGTCGCTACATTCACGGCAATATAAAACAAAGCTTAAATATCTTGAATCGAATCACAACTCTAAATGGCTGGAGAGCTGGTGATGTGCTTTCTGATACTAGATCATGCTGATTTTCATTAGTTTATGGTGATATGAAATGTCATCTTTTTTTAAGGAGTGGCGAGTACTTGTACAAGCCCATCATGGATAAGACCTGCTGTCCTCAGTATACCATACGGTAAGTTCTTTGGACATGGCCATGGACTGAAGTGGCAGAAAATAGTGTTATTCCTTGCCTTTTCTTTTATTATGAGCCATTTTTGTCCAATGTTGGATGAAGACCTCCCCCATATGGTTGTTATCGCTCACACTTCTGCGTGTGCGCTGATCTCATCTCGCCATCTATGCAGTGGTCATCCTGTCTGGTGTACTCTCCTTTGGCCGCCTTTCTATCGGCAGACTAGTCATCAGCCATCATCCTTTCTAAATTACACGTCCTGCCCAAGTTCACTTAACTTTCTTAACGGTCAATATGACTTATTTTTGTTTGTTTCCTGATCCTTTGTAGGAAACTGAATTGTATAAATAAGTAGGCATTGCAGTGTGTTTGGCAGTTGGGTGATGATATTGGCAAACAAAAGCCTGGGTTTATTCATGATTTCTCAACGGTTCTGTCATGTCCACTTGCAGTAGATGACATGTTTGTAATTTCCTACACTATTGGCTTTGGAAATCAAACTGTTGAGTTTTATTTTGTCAAATCAAATCCTTGGCTTTACAAAATAACTTAACTTGTCCTTAGTGATTTAAATCGCGTTTTTGTTGACTCCAAAAGGCATTTCATTGAATACTTGCAACACACACAGCCTTAGTTTTTTGTAAACAGATTTGTACCATTGTTCATTTGCTGCAAAGATATGAGAACCGTGATTTAAAATTACTGGTCCTTTGGTGAACTTTGAAAGAATAACACGTTTTTGTAGCAGCAGTGGGATTAGACCAGAGGCTCAGAAAGACAGGCATTGCAGGAATTCCCACGACTCTCCACTTCTATAATTACGAATCGGTTCCCTTGGTACTGATGTTGCTGAACAAATATCACCGTAATTGGGTGCTGACAAGTAAATTTAATTCCAACTACCAGTTTTAACAGCAGCATATTCTCTCGGGTTTGCCTGCATGGAGAATGGCAGTTACGTGGTGTTTGGCTTGCGCTAATAATGTACGTTGGGGCTGACCACTTTCAATTTGCGTATCCTGTATATTTGCATTTGGTAAGCTGCGGCTCTGGAGCTGCGTGCGGCTCTTTTAGGGACTGCTTCGTGACGTTATTCACACTCAAAATATCGATTTTGTTTGACTGAATTCGAAGAAAATGGCGCTTCTTATCTTCTTCTTGGTTCTTTCGGTAAAGTCACGTAGAAGGGAAGTAATAAAATAATAAAATAAAATAATAAAATAATTCTCGCGACGTTTCGGCCACAACGCAAGCAGCCGTCCTCAGGTGAAGAACAGGTCTGTCGAGGCGAGCAGCCGTCCTCAGGTGAAAACCAGGTCTGTCGAGGCGACAGACCTGGTTTTCACCTGAGGACGGCTGCTTGCGTTGTGGCCGAAACGTCGTGAGAATTATTTTATTATTTTTATTTGTATTATTTTATTACTTCCCTTCTACGTGACTTTACCGAAAGAACCAAGAAGATGAATCCCTGCAGTCACGAAAGTTTTGAATCGAAGCTTCTTATCTTGTTTTCCGTCCCCTAGTTTAGGCAGTAATGGGGGGAATATATGCTTTGTGTACAGGGGTAATGTGATGGTGTATCATTGTTGTAGAATTTTTATTTGACTTATATTATGAAAATTGAGTTAAGGAATGATCTGGCAGCGAAAAGACAGCATGGCTAAGAAATGTCCAAACTTATTTCTTCACAGGTGTCAAGTTCTGGATTACCGACTCTCCAAGTCCCAAAAGAAGATTCTGAAGCGAATGACCATGTACCTTACGAATGGAGACATCTGTAAGGAAAATGACAGTGAATAGTTATTTGGATTGCAATATTTTAAGGTGTTTGCTTGAAAATGTTTGCTCTGTTAGATTTCAAAGTGGCACGGTGATGTAATGGTTGACTGATCACAACGGCTCGTCCATTGTCTTGTATCATTGGAATATTACTCTTTGGTTTTTTTTCCGGTAAAGTCACGTAGGTGAAAAATCAAATCAAATAAATGAAAACAATTAGATTAAATCATGACGTTTCGGGCGCAACACAAGCGTCCTTCTTCAGGTGGGGACAACGTAGCGAAAGCACAACCGCTTAAGTGTGTCTAAGAGATGGCTGTGACGAGGAATTATATAGTCGCGGGGGATGGAGGGAGGGGAGGGGCCATGGTGAGTGTGGGCGATGTGAGGAACGGGGTGGGCGCAACGTACGGAGTTCAAACTGAAGCTTTGTGATGCCGGGGGCAGAAGTAGATAAAGAAGCTAAGATTAAGCAGCCTTTTGTTATGCTGCCGGGGGGTAAATTGCGCAAGCTGAAGACACCGTGTATATATAATATTGTCAGATCCCCTCAATTCAGCTGGGGAAAACATGATTTACATTTAAAAACAAGTATTTTCCCCCCAGTGTTATCCCGATGTTGATATCATCACGTTATGAGATGACGTATACGTTCTGATCTGTTGCAGTGCAGTGCAACTCTTAGATTTTTAGAGAATGGGCAAGAGAAGAAAATATTACAGAGCCATCAAGTAACCTGTTATGTACAATAGCGGCAGCACCTTCACACTCTGTCAAAGAGAGCAATGGTCACCACACGACAGTCAAACCGATATGTTGGATGATCAGAACTGGAATTTAGCTGATTTTAAGTGCAGAACCATATTGAACGGGATGTTTTTGTTGTGTGTTGTCATTGGTCACTGGGTTTAGATCATCACCTGGGTGCTTATCTATGGGCACCCAGGATGGATCTCAGTGGTGGCAGCTCAGCGCTCGGACCTCTGAGCCACCCGGTCAGTTCTGTCTTTAATATTTTGAGTGAGGTTTTGTTTGTTGGTTTCCACAGTACCCACTGAGGTGCCCATGGACGAGCACCCTTCTGCGTGCCACGTGCCACATCCGGTGGAAAAGCCATGCCAACTGGACACGGTGATTGTGGGAGAAGTCGACCAATCTGACGGGGCTTTGCCGAAGATATCTGGTTCATCGTCCGAAGAGAGGGCAAAGAGGCCCCCCAAACCTGGTAAACTCTAACCTGAGACATGGTTTCATAGCTTTTTTTGTTGTTTTTCCAGTAACACGCTGCGTTAATATTTACCTTTCATGTAAAAAAAACAACAAAAGGTGGGTTACAACATTACAAAACAACCCGTGATGACAAGTATGTAAACATGCTCTTGTTTTTCAAGGGTGACCGGCTTACATCAAAATATGGAAAATTGCGACACCGATTTTAAGCTAAACTGGTAGTCATCTTCTTGGTTCTTTCGGTAAAGTCACGTAGAAGGGAAATTTTTTTTTATTTTCTTATTATTGTGACTTTACCGAAAGAACCAAGAAGATGAATCCCTGCAGTCACGAAAGCTTTAAATCGAAATTTAAACTGGTAGTGTTAAACTCTGTTGCCTTGCTACATCGTGGGCAGCAGGGGGCAGTGCAGCAAATCCTTTTATCTCATCCAGCTTTAACCTGCCACTTGGAGGCATTAGGGAGGCCAACATCCATCAGTGCCTTGACAACAGCACCGTACTTGTACGCTGCAACATTTGTTTGCTGTTGGTGCATTTGTAGAGGTAATTTTATGAATTCTTAAAAAATTTGTCCACGTCATTTGCAAGATGAACATTTATCCAAACGAATTCCTTTTGAATTTGTTCAATTTTAACACGTAGGCTTTCACGACTAATATCATCCATAATCCATCATACAGGTTTTTTGGGTTAGATCAAACCCGCCCCCACCTGACACAGCAAATTAGTAAGGTTTGTCATGTAAACAGAACATGGCAATTGGTATCTCGTACAGCAAACCAGTGTGTTGGAAAGCAAAGCCACAACATTTACAATCTGAGTACGACGTTTCGCCGGTAGTTACAACTAGCTTCAACAGGCGACCGCCACATTTATATATTTACGCGATCTAACCCAAAAAAAAATCTGTATTATGGATGATATTTTTCGCGAAAGCCTACGTGTTAAATAATTCATAATGCAGGTTTTTTCTGGGTAGATTGCGAAAATATTGACGCGATCTAAACCCCCAAAAAAACCTCGTGTGTTTCGTATGTATTTAGTTTTTAGATTTACTCATCAGTTGCCTTGCTAGCCAGTAGGTGGCAGATTTGGACTGTTTCTGCCACTTGAGGGCATCTTATACCACAATCATGAGTATCATACATTCTGGAGTAAATTATTTGAATGTGAATGTATAACGACTTGCAATGTCATATTGTTGAGTTCATGGTGCTTTGGGACAAGAAACATAACGTTCTATTTTTCTATTGCACGTAAACAGCATCTAATTAATTGTTGGCTTAACATTGTCACAAATGACACCATCATAAAACCATCCCGCCACTGATAAAAACAATTTTTACGTTTGTAAATAAAATTAGTCGTGGCACAACGAAGATCCATGTGGTAATTATCAACAGCAGTTTTGAGTTTTGGTCACCGTTTTGATCCGTGGGTACAGGTGTGGGCGCTGACCCAAGCCGCCCAATGGCTCGTAAGGCCAAGGACCTGCGCAGGGAAAGGAGGATGCTGAAACAGCAGAAGCAGGACGGCATGGAGAGTGGAGACCAAGCATCGGGCAGCTCTCAGCCGGAGTCCTCCTCTGCTCAACGTCTTTCTGCATCGCCTGCTCCGTTTCCATCCGACGGCCTTGCGTCCGACGCTGGGGCACTCAGCAACGTGGAGAAGGGAATGCGTTTGGCCGGCCTGTCGCACCGGCAGGCCGGGCAGCACCCTGAGCAACAAGCACCAAATCAGCCAAAGACCTTGGAGGACTTTGTCACTAAGCACAAGGCGAGAGATGGCAAGCACAAGCTGGAGGTGAGCGAGAGGAACCGTTCGGTTGTTTGATCGTGGCAAGCCCTTGTTGGCGATGGCAGTGTGGTGGCCTTATCGTCTGCTTGGTTGATTTAATGTAATTAATGCCTTTCAGCCAGGAGGTGTGAGTATTTCATCTGTTTCTGACATTTTAGCACCATTGCCATGCATGTGTTGCTACAACTGAGTGCAAAAATATACAGTGTTTACATGGTATCCACTTGCAAACTACTTACATGAATAATTAAAGCGTTTAGTTTCTTGTCAGTTGGAGAAGAGGTCAGAGTATAGTTTACGCAATTGGAATATTAAAAAAAAAAAAGTGATCAACTCAAGCCTGTAGCCAAATTAGCTCTGGAAATGTGTCTGATCTCAAAAGCTAAGTAGGGTTGAGCGTGGATAGTCGACGTTACAAGAAACAAAAGTGACAGTCTTTCCCAAGAACATTTCCGGAATTAAATCTCACAGCCATTCAAGAGATAATGAGGCCTTTTAAAATAATTCTCATTGGACATTAACATCCCTCTTCTGTGTGAAATCCCCAAAAGTGTTATCTGTAAAAAAAGAAGGTAAAATTGCAGCCCTGTAACTTCTTGCTCATGCCACTGCTGGCAGAAGCACCTCCAGAGAGTATTTGACGTATTTTTCCACGCAGGCCAGACGTCTTATAAAAGGCGTGAATACCCGCACTTTATCCCAGCACAACCGAGCGTCCTGCCGATCCTACTAACCATGGTAAACCCATTTATACTTCATGGAGGATTGAGGCTGGGGGATTCAAGAAACGGGCTCATCGTTTCAACTCTCGCGCAAGGAAATCGAATTGAACCGGCGACCTGTGGAAATAAAATCCCAGCGTGCCACCATGGCAGCAGTCCGATAGAGCCAAACTGGGTTTACATTGAATTTGCCTCGAGTAAAAAAACACACCAATACAATATTGTTTTTGTTATTTTGCGTCCGCTAACGTTGCGCTCACCAGGGTCACGTTGCGGCTTCCTTCGTGAACCTTCCGCCCCGCGTGGCGTAACGCGGCCTTGCAAAAATACGTATGAAAGAGGATATTTGTCCGTACAGTGAGCTATGTGTTTTCTCCTACCGCTCCACAAGCACACGCACTTTTATATTTTGCAAACCCGGTGCTTGCCACACTCATGCTGTCGGGGATAATTCGTAAGTGACTTGCGTGTCGCTTGTGGGTGGCATTGCTTCCCCGGTGGGGGGGGGGGGGGGGGGGCTGACACAGGGAGTCTAGGGTCTGAAGTAAACAGCTCATTTGGAGTGTTGGGCAAAATGGAATTTATTCCCCCCCCCCCCCCCCCGTTTTTGTTTCCTGCGCAGGGGACAGCTCTGGGGATTTCTTATTGCTGTTTTTAATGACCACAAGCGTGTAAGCAAATACAACTGAACTGTGGTTAGTTGTTAGTGGAAACATGCCTGACCGCTCGCCGATTGGTTTCTGCGCAAGGGGGTAGAGCGTTTCAGAATGAACATTGTATAAACACAATCAATGTAATTGTTAATGGCTGCAAAGTTTTGTTATGGAAGTGCAGAGGTTTTATATAGGAAGCATTCAAAAATGCTTCCGCCCATGCATTTTTTAAGTCTAGTGTGATTCATTGTTTTAAACGTAAGTTTTTTTTATAATCGGTCTATATTTGCTGCATTCATGTATGGATCAGCAACCTGGACATTGTTGAATAAAGTGGAATATAAAACTGAAAAGTGCGCTAAGAAGCATGAAAAAGTGAACGCTCGGAATTACACTGGCAGAAAGACGATTTAGAGAACAAATAAAACCTACAGAAATTCATTATTGACTGCAAAGAAAACTTAAGTAAACTTGGGCAGGACACATCGTTACAAAGGATGACGCTGCTGAGACGGCCAAGGGAGTGTACGTGTCTGCAAGGACTTCTAGCAGAGCTGCGAGTTGAGCAACTGCGCAGGTGCCAGGTGGATCTTTGCATTGTGGGACCGTGAGAGATGGCGTTGGCTGAGGGTGGAGGCCTTCATCTAGCAATGGACAGATCACGGCTGAATAATAACTGCCGAGTATGTGCTAACGGCGTTTGGCGAACTGTCGAACAAAGACGGTAACTGCATCGCGCGTTTTCAGATGCGCTTCTGCGGCCATCTGGAATGCTCTTTTTTCCGACATTTCGAAGCCACCAGAGCTTTGCACTTTGAAATCATCATGATTAAAAACTAACTTCATTAGAACTGCTTTTTGTGTTTAGGTCGTTAACCTTCCCCCGCACCTCCGATTAGCACGGTTGGCTACGTACGGTGCAAAAGAAGTTCATCATACATACAACGTGCATCTTACGCATGACGTGTTCTGCTCTGGCTTATGGAATGGCCGGTCCCAGCGCCATGCGCGCTGCGTGTGTGCTTGCTTGCTGCATGCGTTGCGTGCTTGCGTGCTTGCGCCGAGGAAAGCGAACGGTAGCTCCGCGGGAGGTGCTGCGCGTGACGGGCGCCACAAGAGAGCGTTGTTGTTGCCGCGATTGCAAGTGACTGGGGTAATTGTTCAAAGTGGCGAGCCCCGAGGAGCGGCGGCACTCGCATTACCCGGAGACTGTGGGTCTCGTTGGGAAGGTTTTAACGTCTTACTTCAGAGCGGGTTGACGCCAGCGCTTTGACTGGTGAGGCCCACTGCCCTGATAATTACCCCAAATTACTTGGCGAGTTATGGCCGGGCTAATTCATGTTGTACGCAAAACCGTCCGATTTGCACGTAATATATGTCGTGAGTATGAGGTGGAGGCGTTGAGCAGGATGCCCGTGTGCGGCAGTGCGGCGCAGGAACACGATATTGCAATGAAATGTCTGCAGGGACTTTACGACTTGCGAGGAATCTCTCTGTGTCGAGAGGGTCACATCCATCACCTGGTCACCGCCGGCTTGCCGAAGGTGCATTCACTGCTTAAGCCCCGCCGTGCTTTGTGCTGACGCACTCAATCCATAGTGTCACCGACTTGTCCTGTAACCAGCAAGCGGATTATAGATCCTCGATGTGTTTTCGGGTCCTGCCGCGTGTCGTTTGGCACGATGTCCGACGTTTCGCTCCACGTGATGGGAGCTCCTTCAAGCAATTGAATCTAGGCGGTAACAAGTGGCTTCTCAATCAACTACGCCGACTCATCCGCTTCCTTTGAGCATGAGTCTCTTTCATGCGACTTTGGCACGTGTAGTCATGATCAAGAAGTCGTATGTATTTTCAGAGTTGTTGCTTGTCCGGTTTAGTCTCACCATCTGCTTGTGAATCTCTTGGTCAGTCGCTCCCAGTCTGGCCGGCAGTCCTTCTGGCTATAAATCTCTCCATCTCTCTGCCCTTCTGTTCCCTCCATCTGCCAGTCCTGGCATCTGTGGTCCATTTGTTGGTCAATTTGTCCATCGTGGTCTCTGCCAGCTAAGCCATGAGATTTTAAATACTTGGAAGTAGGCACGTATAGATTCTCACCCTCAGAAATAACATACATTGTCGTCACGTTTTAGACTGGTCATTTGATTATTTAATCAAATCACAGAGATCACGTGAAACCTCCTTAACATATAACACACGGGAATCTCAGAACGGTGATCTTTACACGCGCGATACGATGCCTGCATCGTCAGCTTAAGAATCGATATTTATCGATGCATTGTTACGTCTCATTTTGTTAAATCTCAGTGCTTCTCCACCTTTTTCTTTATCGAGCAGATACACAGATCTCCCTTACGAGGCCCCTTGTTCTACAGCAATGTGGCGCTGGGCCAGGCATGTGTGTGCGTGCAGTGTGATGGTGCTGGCCACGTTACCCCCTTGTGTGCTGCTCCGGCCTTAATAGGTGCTCGCTAACAGCACTTACCCCTTGAGTCTGACCAGGTTATACGGTGGGGGGGGGGGGGGAGGATCTTTGTCTATCTCATCATTGCATGATTTTGTTGAGAAATGCCAGCGGAAGCGAGGCCATGGGGGCGTGCATTATTAAGCTGAAATGTAATTTATTGCCAAACTCGTAATTGGAGCGCAGCCGGACTTGCACAATTAAATACATAAAACATTTCATTGCACTGTGGGACATCTAAAGTCATGCGCATTGAAACTTGGCCGGATGAAGTCTTGCTCTCTAACTGGTCGGGTTAAGTCATAAAGAACGGGGAGAGACCAAATTGAGCTTTGGAAGTTTATTGTCGTTCAGGGGACTGCATCATGCTAAACAGTTAAATCTCATGTTTGTGTACCGGGTAAGTAAGGAGCCCACTTTCTACATTGCGATTGCTTTACGTGGTCGTTTAATGTGGATGCACTTAGTCAGGTTGGTGGTAGGGGGGTGGTTGTTAACATAACTGGCTGAGTGTTCATTTACTTACATTGCATAAGGGGTGAAGCAGTGGCATAGTGATGAGCGCACTCCGACATGGATACCCGGCAACATAAGTTCTATTCCCGGCCACTTCTAATGCCACCCTTTCGAACCGGATTGACCAGTGTGGTGAAATATGGTCAGACATTTCACGGGGAGGACTTCATGAAGCAGTCGTTTAGCAAAGGGCTGTAAAATTACTATTATTATTATTATTTCTAAGTGTTCTTGTACCATATTGAGGGCACTAGGGTAATATTTTGACCCAGGGCAAGGCAGGTTGGTAATCGTTGGGGTACTGTGTAGCAATACTTCGTGATTCTCTGAAATATAGCACTCAGGGACTCCTTGCCCAGTAAATGCAGTCTGAGACTACCCTTTAAGAGAAACCTAAAACGTAAACTATGCTATCAAAGTATTAACCATGCAGTTTTTTTTTTACAGTAAAGTTTGAACATGTGCAATGCATTAGGGCCATGATGTATTGTGTGCTTTTAATATTGAATAATGCCACGATAAATATTGAGCCAGTGCACTGTTATTTACTGTCTTCCTGTAGGTTATGAAAGGCAAAAATAAGTGTGATCGGAGATCCAGCCCCAAAGGAGCCCAATGGCTTTTAAGGGGGAGAAAGAAAGAGGCCATGCGACA